TAGAAGATATCACACACATATAAGCCGTTACTCTTGCAATAGGCAGTCGTGATCCCTAATATTGGGGTTGTAAATATATCAGTCTGGTGAGAGCTCAGTCCACTGACGGTTCCGACGTCGCAACAAAAGCCCTCACTGCGAGAGCGCGACTTACCACCAAGTCGCCATTCTTTATTTCCTCCGCTGTCCAGAGTCTCTCTATTCATATTCTGCTATTCATATTCTGAATTATCCAGGATCTTCTCTCTGTGCTATGCCCATCATTGTAGAGAAACAGGTTCGGCATCAGAGTTGACGCAACCAGAAGACAGAAGCTGTCATCTCCAGCTCCGTGATTATTTAAGGTGAACCTTGTAGACGTGTTCTTTCTCGCGACCTGATGAAATGGTGCGCTGTTTTGGCAGAAGCACTTGCGCAATGTTTGTTGGCCGTGGTTCTGGCGTGCCCACAACTCTACTGCGAGGACAGCATACCTGGCATCATGATCTATTCTGGCGGAGTACACGAGAACAAGCAATGAAAGACGACCGCGAATGTGTCCGTTGTGATCAAGAGCGATCGTTGCAGCGAGCTTGGCATCCATCTCATGCCCAACTAACTTCATGATGAAGAACTGCAAATCCATTTGCTGTTTAGGCACGAACTCACTGGCGTTAGATTGACGATTTAAACCAGAGGCCGTAGATACCTTGAATGCTCTAAAGCCCCATCTTCAGGTCTCGACTTGCCCAGCAGCGCGGGTATTGATGTCTGTTAAAGGCTTCCCTAGTACGGACACTTTTGTCTCCAAGACCAACAATAACGTTGTATGTATGCTGTTCTGATGGCCGAAGGGACGTAATAACGCAACCTGATCCCGGTGCAACGTCCTCAGCTTTGGAAGCATGCTATTAAGCACATATTCCTTTGCTATCTCCCGTTTCTGCTGATGTCCTATGTTTCCGAGGTGGTATTCACTGTATCTAGAGATTGCTCCTGAATGTCATAAACTTCTGTAAAGGATTGAGAACGCAGGTATGCCTCAAACACATCCCTCTTCTCGCGATAGAACTAAAATTGCCCGTCGAGCATGATTGGACCTTCTGGACGATCTGAGAAAGATAGGACGGTTGTTGAAGTACATTTCATGACCTCTCATGTCTCTTGAATGTTTGTGCATACGCTCCGCGCAAGAGACACAGTGTCTACATATATTGCCGTAGTAGCATGGACATTGCAGCTTGCCAGACCAGTGTGGCGGAATTCGAGAATCCCAAACGAGTTACATCTAAAAGGCGTGTCCCATCCGTGAGCTTCAACCGGGAATCAGGATTCTTTGAAGGACCCATGACCCTTTTATCTGTCCACGCTCACTGTCTTCCCGCGGATATTCAGCGATATTCAGAAGTCCTCCACACAGGGCATACCGTCACGCAATCTGAGCGCGTGAGACACTCGTTTCACGGATATCAATATCGAAAGAGCAACTGAGTGTGCCGCGTCATCGCTCCATTAGTCCACGGCGAAGGCCTGAATTGATGGTCTCGCTCAAAGCATTAGTTCATTATTATATAGTTGCGCGTGGGTGTTTGAGTGTCTTCGTGGACCGCTTCCCCTTTCTATTCCGACCGGCACCCTCACACATGCCCGTGGGGTCGGCGAAGTATGGCGAGCTTGCGCGGCCTGGCACAAAAGCGCCTCGCCTCTCTACCCGTGCGCTGGTATGCCGTTTTGGATCCGACATCAAAGTCGGGCGGTAAGGAGCGATCAAACAGTTTCCCGCGATTCCTCATGCTGTGAAAAGCTCCCTTCGAGCGAGATGGAGCCTCAGTTATGCCCACCGGCCACTGTTAACCGAGACAGAAGGCCACGGCTCGGGTTTAGCTGAACAAACCAAAATCAGCGACGAAGCGCTTCCTGAATCCAGTACTCATCTAGACCTAAGCCGGGCCAATAGAGTCGCTCAATTTACAGGGCACATTAGTGGCCGTGAAGTGGTGTCCAGTCTAGTGAAATAATCTCCTAACCCAGATCAACGTCTGTAGCACCCGACTCTGCTGTACCTATAAGAGTAGAGTACGCCCTAAACTCACTTTTGTGATGGAAGAACGCTTCTTAGGACCAGATGTGGCAGTGTATTTGAAGCTTAATACCTGTGATGTGTATGGAGTACCAGCAGGCCTCCAACAAAAGCTCGTCGTCGTGTGCGGCATTCGCTGTGGTCCCCAAGTGCTCGACGGGGCCCAAGGGGGCCAGCGGTGCATTAGAGTGCAAACCACACAGAGTATGTGCCTGGTCATGGGTGTTGCGCGGGGCAAACGGGGTTGTAAGTGGACGGCAGAAACGTCACTGTGGTGGAGGGACTAGGTCATGTCGTGTAAAACAGATAAATCACCTCTGAAACCTGGAGCGGAAGGAAACATTCATGGTAACATGAACAACAGTTATTGATGAGCAAGCTGCTTGGATTTGGCCAGCTCTGGTGTCGCCCCCGCCTTCTGCCAGGGACACTGCACTTCAAATACTAAGATTCCATTCGTTCGCATGCAGCAGTTAGAGAATTCTCGTCCTTAGTTTGCGTATCTTGGAACACAAGCTTCTTGCGGCAGCGGTATCTGGAGTATTTTGGCCCACATGCTTGATCTACCATCCTTGCTTCGCTTAGCAAACGTCTGGCAGCTCAAATGCTCGTTCCTTCCCACGATGTACACAACAGGCCACCCGTATCACTTTCGCCACCGTGTGGCGTTGCGTCTCTGGTCGGCCGGCTTGATTTCCCTTCTGTCGGTCCCAAGACGTCCCAGGAGGGGGTAAATTCCTTGCTGCCACATTGGAAACAATATTGCTGGCCTCGAAGGTGGAACCATGGTTGTCAAGGACTCCAATGCAATCTAGGTAGCCATCGTGTCGTAGGTAGGTCTTCCTGGATGTGGCTAGTTCCCACGCCAAAGAGGAGGCTCAGGCTGGGCCCTCTGCTCATGAGGGACACCGTGAACCTCAGTGTGTGGTGCGTGTGAGTTTGTGGCCTAGGAAGAGTCATTGGTGAAAGAAGCTAGTAGGTTGGCATGCGTACCTTGAAGTTAGAGATCGCACTGGGTAGGCTTTATTCGGCTGCCGCGGCAGCTCGGGTGGAAAGTGATTTGGAGCTGATGCTTTGTGCAAGCAGAGGAGATGCCTTTTTGAGAGATGACGGGCAGGGTAATGTCATAAGCGGCCTCGGACGATCATCCTTGCGACGATGAGATGGCCGCAAGGGTGGCCCAGCAGAGGCCTCTAAGCTTTTGCCAGTCTTGTTTCCAGGCCGCTCGACCGATGGGAGGGGTGATGTCTTGGGGAGTGGTCTTTTTGAAAGGGCCCAAAGGAATCCGGGTTGGGCACATGCGTGAAGGCGTGGACGTGGGCGTGGAGTCGAGGCATTGAGAGCGCACAACCAACGGGCCAAATGGGACTGTCAGGATGTTGATTGTCTAGGCATGCTTCCGTCGCCAGTTGTCGCGCATGATGTTTGGTCTGGTTGGGACTTGCGTGCTCCTTTCAGAGATCCTATGTTGAGTGGCAGGTTACCCCTTTGCTTCCTGGATCAGTCATGCAGATGCACGCCATCCCGGCCAGCTCCATAACCAGGCTTGCCAAGGGCAGATCTTGTAGTTCTGGGTCATGCTCGGGTCATGGCGATGGCGGTCGGGGCCAGGACGATGGGCAGGGTGCGGGATTCTTGCAGAGTGTTGGGCTTGGCCTGCACAGAAGCATTGCGCGAGGGTCGTTGGCTGTCGAAAAGGAGGTATTGTTCGCGGTCTGGGGCCAAAGGAGTCGGTATTCATATCGGCTATCGGAATGCTAAAGCTAGCAAAGCAGCGTTCAAATGAGGCGACTACGAAATACCACTGTGGAGGGGCAGTAGGGACGACATACGAGAGGTCGAAGTGCTCCAGACGATCCATGACTTTCCGGCGTATCGCGCGGTCGATTGACGACAGCTGACTGATTGAGCCGAAGGCTGGTCGGTGGAGAATGGCTCTTCTTCTTTGCCGTCTGGAGATGGCATTGAGAAAGGGTTTCTCATGGACGTACGGTCGACGAATACTATGACGTCGATGCGTGGTTGACATCGTCTTCCTTCACCCAACCTTGCCTTCGGCGGGCAACTGCCGATTCTGGCGCTGGACTCGGCAGTTATTGCAGGCGAAAATTAGCAGAAGGTGAACGGGAGCAGTTGTTGAAAACCCAAAGTTGGTCAAATCGGCAGCTGGCATGAGTGACCCTTCTTAATCCCATGACTTGAGGGCTAGAATCAGCAGGGCAACTGGTCGCTGTGCGAAGAGACTCTGAGAAAGGCGACCGTCTGTCTCGCGATGGATGCAGGATTAACACAGGCAAGCAAGCTGGCGCTCACAGTACTTCAGCACCATAGTCCGACTTGGCAGCTTTGAAGCGCCATAACACAAGCCCCAGAGCTATTTGGAGGTTGAAGACTGAACACTGACCGAAATGCAGTCATGGTATATTTTCCTACTATAAGCCCCCTCCCCGTCGGGCCTCAAACATCATAAACATCAGACATATAGCCTTAAGTCTGATTACTCTCCAACTATGATATCAATCTCAGAAACAATGTCAACTGAGCTGTTCCCTACCCAACAACGATACGATCCTGCATCCATTCTCCAACGTCCCTCATATGCCCAATCTTCACCCCCAACATCAGACATTTCGAATCGAGTGTATAATAGACCGAACCCAAAGGGCCAGAGGGGCTTAATACCATACTTCTCAAAGTAACGGTACCCTACTAGTATACCCTCGCTATACTCAGCGTAGTCGTGTTTAATATCTCCTGGAAAATGCGAGCAGGAGCTGTGGTCTTCTAAATATTGTGGGAAGGTTACAGGGAGCTTCCCGGAAAAGTTATACGTCCCAAGGAGAACATCAGCGAGTGTATTTCCGTTCTCCTGGCCTTGGTACCAGGCTTGGACAATAGCGCTAACGTTATTAACCTAAGGCATAGCCACGGCACATGCCGACTAAACAATGATAGCCACGTTAGACGGCTCTGACGTAATTGCCTGGATCATTTGATCGGCACCTAATGGAAGAGATATTGAAGAACGGTCACCCCCCTCCTTTTCCTCATCAGCATTCAGGCCGACGACTATCAAAACGAGATCAGCCTTCTTCGCAACCTGAATAGCGTTCTGGAGCATCGCCTTCTCATCATGAATTGGCAAAAGACCGATGCGGATGCCTGATGCCTTGTCGAAAAGAGTATTATCGTACGCTTTGATCGAGGGCGTAACCACAATGTTGCCCACCCGTACGTGGTATGATTGCCCTTTGACGAGAGACATGTTGACCTGTGCCTCGCGACTAACGCAACCCATGAACGATCCAGACGTCTCGCTCCCATCGGTGTTGTCAATGATGAGTTGGTCATCGATGTAAAGCTTAGCTTTTCCCGTATTTGTTAAGCCCCAGATGTGAGGGCCAGAAACACTCGGTTTGATGACGCCTGAAACTCGATAGCAAAAGATGGTTCCACTAAGACACTGTGGTATGTCCCCATCACTCATCAGGTAGATATGAGAGTCTTTCCAGAATGATGTCGCGACGATGTCCCCTTCGAAGCTGTTCCCTGCGTAAAAGTCCATGCGTAGGCCGTCACACGCGGAGTCCAGTTTGACGATCTGGTTCCCAAGAGTCGGCGGTGTTCGGGAGACCGGCATTCCTTGTTCAAAACTGATACAGAAACTCTGATTTTGTTCGCGAAGCTGAGCAGCAATGGCGTCATACGGGGTCGTAATGTAGTAGGGGTTGACTGCTGCGCTTCAACTACCACCAGCTGTTGGCTGTTTTGCGTGGGGGCCAATGATTGCGACGGTATTGAGGTTCTGTGGTCGTATGGGGGGCAAGTCTTGGTTTTTGAGGAGGACAAGGCCGTCACGAGCCGCCTGCCGAACGAGAGTTTGGAATCCGCTGACATCGTCAGCTTCCAACTCCTCTATCTGCTGGTCGATGTGGCCGTCTTGTCGATATATCCATTCTCCATTTCGTGCCGGGAGAAGCTTCGCTTTCTTAATCAATCTAAGCACGCGTTTCACACAGGGATTCAAATGAGCTTTCTCATCAACCTAGCCTGAGAGAACCGCGGCCATGAGTCGATTACCCCTCCGAATGGCAGGTCCTGGCATCTCGAGATCTGTTGTCGCCAGAAGGATCTGCATCGTATCGTTCAAGCCCCCCCTAGTCACTCATGACGACCCCTTTAAAACCCCGCTCCTCCCAAAGAATGCGCTTTATGAGGTAGATGCTTATGTCGACGTGCTCGCCATTAATCTTCTGGTAGCTGGTCATGATTGTCCAAGGCCTAGCCTCAAGTCCAATCTTGAAGGGTCGAAGATAGACTTCGCGTAATGTGCGTTGGTCAATCTTCTGATCGATGTTATATCGTTGTGTTTCTATATCGTTTTTAACATAATGCACTAAACCCTTGGCTCTGAATACCCATAATTATCGCTTTTGCAAGCACCCCGGTCAAGAAGGGGTCTTTGCCACAATTCTCGAAGCTTCGGCCGCCTAGGGGTGATCTGCTGAGATTGATAGTTGGCGCAAGGAGGACTGAACATTTTTTGACACATACCTCTTTGCCTAAAACCACACCGACCTGCTGAACCAAGTCTACATCGAAGGTCGCAGCCAGTGAAATTCCGCATGGCATTAATGAAGGTCGTTCGGCGGCCGCCTATCCATGTGGCCCCGCGTACGCCGGCTGGACCATCAGTAGTCCTCAAGCTGGGAATGCCGACATGGTCGATGTTAATCGTTTGCCGCATATTCTTCCCGACAGAAGAGCAATTTTCTCAGCGAGCGCGAGAGACTCTATTCGTTCGTCAACGGTGTCTGTCTCGAGGTCCATGGCTGAAAATGGTAGAATCCGAAATGAGATGTCGTCGTTGTTAAGGTAAGGGAGTTAAACTTCATTAGGATAATCTTGCTGTACAACGAATGATTCCGAGTAGCAGCGGGTTGCTTGGGAATAAGTGACCCACAAAATCAGTTGTGGTCTGTTTAGCTCAGCAATTCCTACTAAGTAACTCAATCAAAGTGCAGCGGTGATGTGGAGACACATGTCCGAGGTCGATAACGGGAAGCGGAGCATTTGGGAAAATCGGGGAACTCGCGGAACTCGGGGTAGTCGGGGAAGTGGGGAAGTCAAAGTCTAAGCATGTGGATCCCTGCGACTGCTTCGGCCGTTTTGATAACCCACCCATTACCAATCCAAGTACTCGCCGTACTATTTGCCCATTCGAATTTTGAGGTGTGATGTTTGAGGTGGGAAATAGATTCCAGCTACAGTTCATTTTGAGCCTTGGTCCTCAAGCGGTTCAGCGGATTGAGCTTAACAGACATGGACCCCTAGTCACTTGCGTGAAAAGGGTCGACCAATCTAGCTACAAGCGCCGGGCTCGCCCCGCTACAAAGTGATGTGGCCGACTTCTTAAGGTATGTTAAGGCAGGGTTCGGGCCGGGTTTCGAGCCTCGGGCTGGGGCCTGGCCGACTTCCGTCTCGCATCGCTCCACTGCTGGTCGCTCAGACGATTGGCAGTCAACGAGTGTGCCGATGACTTTTCGAATCTCTTGATTCCCGTATGAACGTAATAATCGAGCTTTGTTCACTTTAAACGGGATCCTGTTTTAACCTTCAAACTACGACGTGGTCACAAGGATGGAAAAGCTGACTGGGGTTCATGTCGTCGATAAAATCTGTTAAAGACTGAAACTCCTGACTTGGCCTTCTAAGCCCTGATCTAGTCACAGGATTTACCAAAGCCAAGCAAATAGGCTGACTGCAGGCGCTAGCCAAAGCACGCTGAGTGGGACGTACATGCCGATTTTGAAGTATTGAAGGCCGACATACCAGCCTGAGAGTACACTCACGACGGCCATCAACTTCTCCTCGACGTTGGAAGGTCCCTGTGTCTTAGCCCATCGATAATTAAGCAGAGCTACCACAATCAGTCTCTAAGCAATACCAAAGGAGAGTTAAACAATAGATTTCATACCCAAAATGATGAGACTTCCATTCGACAAATCCCAGGTGGTCCCAACAACTTCCTTTCCTCGCTTGATAGCAGGGGAATGCTCAGGGATAGTCTTGATAGCGTCTGACATATTTGTTGCACTGACCTTGACGTGTTTGGGGATAATCAGGATATTGATAGCGGCGGCTGCATAGAAGAGAGTAGACTGTATGGACGGCATTTTGATCTGATATGGCGTTCACGTACTTGCGTTCTTGGCCTTGGTGATAGAAATGGGTAGCTCGACAGGTAGAATTTAAAGGAAATGGAACTGAAGGCGCGCCACTGGCTGATTCAGTTCGTGGACGAGTCGGGAGGGCCCCGACAAGTGCAATCTGAGCAGGGATGTTAATCTAAATGGAGTGTTCGCTGGAACTAGGCCATTCGCGGGCATCGCGGCAATCGGTGGTCTATGCTGATCCCCACACCCCTCTAGTCTCAAGAGTCTCGTCCAGCTAAACCCTTTCTTAATAATCAGCTTCTAAGTCAGGGCAAAGATCTTGCTTATGAATCGCATCAGATGAGAGGATTGCTAAGCCTGCAAATCATGACAACACACACAAAGTCTGTAAGTGAGCTACCCTTTAAGAGATAATTCAACAATAGTGGATTGTCAATGATCGTGACTTCAACAAGCCATCTAGCTATAAGACGAACACCTTGCCCACAACCACACAAGTACTTTGGGTTAATCTCGCAGTATCACCTCGGAAATACACGACTCCGATCCAGACAACGTTTCATACAGCTCGAGCCTTCATTAAAGATGTTGCCTCCCAACTTTAAAAGCACCGTTCGCGTCACACACATCACAACAGCCACAGTCATCTTGGAGATCGATGGCGTGAGTTTCATCACGGATCCGGTATTCAATGATGCTCCAAACGAATACGAAATAACACATCTTATGCCGCCGGGAACCCAACGATTGTTTGCCAAGTTTGAGACTGGCCCGGCTCTTGGGCTCCATCAGCTTCCCATCATTGACGCCGTCCTCTTGAGCCACGAGGACCACATTGATAATCTGGACGACGAAGGACCAAGCTTCTCGACGGTCGTCGGGTCATTACTACTTCTGACGGGGCGAATCGTCTTGCCCCGCGGCCAGGGGTTGTACCCATCAAGCCATGGGAGACCCTGACTTTCAAAATTCAAGGAGTTGAGTGGAAGATCACCGGAACGCCATGCACTCATCTCCCTGGTGGGAAGTCACCAGTTTCATTCTGCAGACCGAGAAGTTTGGTCTGAGTCCGGATGGCCTGCCCAATGTGGTTTACCTTACTGGCGATACCGTCCTGACGCCTGAGCTATCGGAAATTCGGAAGCGGTTTTACGTTGTGATTGCTGTGATGAATCTTGGAGAAGCGCGGATTCCTCTGCCAGGATATGAAGTACCACTTCAGATCACGATGAACGGCCAGGATGCTGCGAAGCTTATGCGCGAGCTTGGTGCAGACATGATGGTTCCCGTCCACTTTGAGTCATGGCACCATTTCATGCAGGGAGCAGAGGAGCTCCGGGCGATCTTTGAGGCTGAGGGAATTGCAGACCAGATCTGCTGGGCTACCCCCGGCGAGAAGAAGATCATTGCCTGAAATCAAGATGATCTTCAATACATGGTGTTTGATTATAGTCAGACCATTGCTTGTTTTATAGGATTAGGTCGCTTTACAATTCAGACGTATCCTTGCTAGTTTTAAAAGTCTCCTTGAGTGATGTGTTGGGGTTCTTGACACGTCGAAGCCACTTATATGACGTCTAGGTCTAAGGATCGTTGCCCTCAGTACTGGGAATCACGCAGTCTTACCATCATTCATGAGCTGAATCACTTGTGAACTTCCTGCTGGAGAAATCATTGAAACACTTTGTGTGCTGTCAGGTATTATTGCTGGTGGAACATGTCCATATCTAACTCTAGTTCTTCCAAGACCCGGCAGTCCAGGCCTTGAAACGACCAGGCCGTGCTTTCGGGCTGGGTATCGCTTCCATCTTCGTTTCGAGCAGCTACAATGACTCCGAGGGCTTCTGGTACGCTAGACCCATCATGCGATTGTTGACCATGAATATCGTTCATCTGGTCTGAGAAAACGGACGCGCTACAGCATTGGTTGTCCTCTAAGAACCGGTTTCCTTGGCCATCTTTGGGTAACAGGTCGGGATCTTCGGGCGGAAAGCTTAGTCTTGTTATTTCGTTCCTGAGGAAACATTCATGGGTAAACTTGGATCTGTAGGGCGGCATTGAGAAACCGTTAGCTCCTTTCAGTTCTCAGACTGAGGATACGAAATGAGAAACTAACCTTGCAAGCTGGGGGTGATCCAGAATCTGTTCCATATTGGACAAAATGTCAATAATTCTTTCGCGAACCATCATAGTTGTGGGATAAAACTGGGCCGAATTCATCAAGATATCGGCACATGATTGAAGATGCGGAACCGGATTGAAGGCTTTGTGACCGTCTAATGCAGGGGGCTTGGTGAGGGTGATAGCTTTTACCGCCGACCAAGCGCAATCAGCTAGAAGGGGATCGCTTATACAGACAGTGTTGTCGGATGATAGGATGGTCGAAAATATAGTTGACATAGCCACGGCATGTTGAAGATACCTACTGCGGTAGTACTCGATGGGTCGCGTCGCTGGAGGATCGCTGACTGGCCAGGTTTCTTCCTCATCGATCTTGTTCAAAGTTTCACAGTAGAGGTTGATGTACGTCTCGTGCCACCATATATGGAGCATGACAAATGTGGTGCGCGAAGGGAGATAAATGCGGCGAGAGAGATTCCGCCGATTCATCACGTGGTTCTCCGGTAGCAGGCGGTGAAAGCTTTCAAGCTCCTGCTCGAAATCTCGAATGGAATTCTCCAGTTGCACCACTGTGGATGTCTGTGCGGGAGATTGAAATGAATGCGTCCACCTGCGAACACGTAAGTTGAGTCCAATCCATGGCCACAGCCTTTTGGTGATATCTGTTCAGCTCACTCTGTCACCCTGCGGCGGATGTCATGAATCCGAACTAGGTACGTGGCTAGCCCATAGCCATCTTTGCCGGGGTCCTGAGTCTGTTGACGAAGAGAGCCCACGTCAACGGGGACATTGATGTTGAAGCTGCGCTCATTGCATGGCAGCTGTAGATGAATACTTTCGGTGCGGCAAAATGACAAATTAGGCCAGTCATCGCAACTGGTTGTCTCCATCATCCATAATCCCCACATTATGCGTCTTCTCCATTCCTGGCCTTCGAATGAGATATCTTTATCTTCATGGTTCAAACGCATCACGTAGGCCATTCGGATCGCAAAGGCCAGCACTCCCATTAGCCTTGAAAACCTGCGTGACAGTCCATGGTCGAATGCAATGAGTGCGAGTGCTGCGACATCCGTTCTCAATAGGTGCGGGCTTTGCAAAATCTGTTTTTCAGCGGCCTCAAGCCATTTCGGACCGTCGCCAGCAGCAGCAAAACATGGTAGCACTCGCGCGGTGAATCGGGACGCGACACCACAAATCGCGAGTAGCAGCTTGCTGTTGAGTGTACCGTCAAGGAAGGTTTGCATCAGTGTGCCACGGTGAATAAAACACAGACCTGGTATAGGGTAGACATATTCAAAAAAGGCCTCGATACAAATCCTGGCAGTGTCTTTAGGGATATCCGTACTGCTAATGAGAATGTGAGAAGTGAACCAAACGGTAGACACGAGCATCAGGCGAAGGGGTGCCAAGTACCTCGGTGAACACAGCCGATGTTCAGTGTTCGGGTCTACTGGTACAGTGCTGGTGAATGCCGGAAAATGAGAAATGGGGCCGGCAGGAGACACCGGCAGCCGGGCTGAAGCTGTCGCATCTCCGATCTCCGCCGGGGGCCCGCGACGTCCCTTTGGCGCCCGGGCCCGGCGACTCTGTGGATAGCGGCATTCAATCACATACATCCGGCAACGGTCACAAGGGTGGGTGCCGCCTTGACATTTTGCTTTCTTCTCGTGGCATGCGACGCAAGCCTTGGCTGCTCGCAAGCGGTCCAACCGAAGCTGACTGGGAGCTGGCCGGGTGGCAGAAGACGACGACGGCGACGAGAGCGAGCAGTCGAAACCCAGACGACGGCAGTTGTCGCAGCCGCCAGGGGTACTATCGCAGCGCACCTGACAAAGACAAGATCTTCAGCCCCTGAGCGGACACCAGCAACGTCTGTCCAAGTGCCTACCTTCCTATTTCGGCATTGCGAGCATATCTCGCTTTGCCGGCGGGAGCGGCTAGGATTTGGTGCGTCCGCCATTCCGGTTACTCCGCCAAGATAACCGCTCGTGACAACGTGGATTCTTTGAAGACGAATGGAGACGCGGGTCGTTGAGCAAAAGAAACATGCAGAGTTGGGACATGCAGCGCCTCGCTTCACAGGCACTCGCGGGATCTGTGCCCGTTTTTAATTGCCCCCCGAGTGCCGCCCCACCAAGGGTAGCCCCTGTTTTTGAACATCACGTGAGAAAATGCTCACTAGAGTTATTACTCCATTAGGTAACTTTCTCTGATTGCCTGCAACAGCTGAAGGTCTGACTCTAGAACCATTTAGTTGGTCCACATCTTGCATCAGTCCTGAATGAAGCATTGTGAACTATCTTGGCTATTCTATCGAATTATCCAGTGTTAAAACATTTCAATCGTACCTTGCTATTAGCTTTCCTGATCATTGCTACGTCAACCCTGAACTACGGCTTTAACAACAATGGCTACACAACAACTCAAGCCATGGAGCCATTCATACGGCAATTCGGCAGACTCTCTCAAGAAACGGGAGAATATGAGCTCGACCCTGCATGGCTTTCTATGTTCAACAGCTTGAACTATATTGGCTTTGCTTTTGGTCCGTTGCCTATTCTATCTGACCAGCGAACGCATATCTCCACATCTGTTAGCAGACTATTGCTGATACCTTGCCTTAGGTGTGATTTTTGGTAGTATAGTTAGTGCCAGATTTGGCCGGAGATGGTGCATATTCTCAATGAGCGCCCATGCTATTGTGTGCGCCGTAATTGCAGTCACTTCGTCCAGTCGAGAACAAATCATGGTTGCCCGTGTTTTGAACTGTGAGTACAAACCACACTGTGTTGGCGTCTTAATTTAAACTAATTAATCGATGCTTCGCACAGACCTCTATGTTGGGATGGAGCTGGCTGTTATTCCAGTTTATCAGTCAGAGATCATGCCGACCGAGATTCGAGGCTTTGCTGTAGGATCTTACTAATTCAGCATGATGGTGGGAAACCCTCCTCAAATCCCGACTCGAAGGTATTCACTAGAGCTGAGACTATTTAGGCTGGGAGACTCACTATGAGTTGCATATGCAGGGGAACTAGCATGCTGTCCACAAACAATGCTTGGAGAATCCCCCTCGGCCTGTTTTTTATCGTCCCTAGTATTGTTATGGCTGTGATCTGGTTTATTCCTGAGGTAACTCGATAATTCTTGAGCTTGACCTTCATCAAACTGACCACTTCCCTCGCGCAGTCGCCTCGATGGCTTCTCACTGAGGACTGAACAGAGCAAGCGTGAGCATCTCTTATAAAGTTGCGCTCTGGAGTTTTAACCGCAAGCGAAATCGATGACGAATTTTCAGCCCTCCAGGCCGCTATAGCCTTAGACCCAGGACAAAGCTCATACTGGGAGATCTTTCAAGGTGTGAATCGAACTCGAACTGCTATCATTGTGGTCATGAACTTCTTTCAACAGGCCAGCGGTCAATCTTTTGTATCGTCGTACGGTGCCGTATTTGTTCGCAGTATTGGGAGTGTTAACCCATTCAATATGACGGTAATTAATGCGTCTGTCAATCTGTTCATGTGCGGAGTGTCCTTGGTTCTTAACGACAGAATCGGAAGACGGTAATGCAAAGTCTAAGGCTCGTACTAAACGACGAGATTGTTATGCTGACTACCTTATACTACAGTCCTCTATTGATGGCAGGAGCCCTGTGTCAAGTGGCTGCAGTCATGGCTGTGGGCGGGCTTGGGACCATTTCCAACCCCTCAATGCCTGTGAAAAGAGCGACTGTTGCCATGCTGCCCTTGTTTACTGGTGGTTATTGCCTTGGTTGGGCACCGTTAGTCTATGTTGTAACCACAGAAATTGCGGCTCCGCGGCTCTGAGATGCTTCTCAGAGGACTGCGTCTGTGGTAAACGTCGTCACAAGGTAACTAATATGGGAATCACCTAAAGACACGTCTGAATCTGCTTACTTACTTCCATTCTAGCTTCGCTGTCAACTTCTCGATTCTGTATCTGCTATTTGAACCTTATGCTGCATTATAAGGTAAATTTGGGTTTATCTTTGGCTTGGTTGCGGCTTGTTCCTTACTTTTCACCTGGCTGTTTGTACCTGAGTGTAAAGGAAAGTTATTGGAGCAGGTGGACGTTATGTTTAATGAGGGTGTTCCAATCCATAAGTTTGGGCACTATAAGCCTGATGAAGCGGGTTGTCATTCCACCCACAATAATAAATATTTAATTAACAACTAGAACCGTTTCAAAAGCTGAAGCAGAACAATTGAGTTATATTATCACAAGATGATCATCACAGGATATTGTTGAGGTTTGCTGGGAGGATACCATACGGGTTTCTCTTTAGCTGCTTTTGAGTGAACATATCCTCTATGCTATTCTTTAAGCGACTAGCCATTTCCGTCTATATATGTTTACGTTAAATACATACACATTGAAACCGGCTGACCAGCCAGCTATATAGCTTTGATGACGGGTGCTAGATTCTAAGAGAAAGAGACGCGGCTTGCCTATTGGTACTCTCGGGTGGTGTGTAACCCCTACAGTGGGGTGTTTCGGTAGCTCGCGGATGTCGGGGATCGATGGGTGAGCCCCCTATGAATGACTGAAACAGGGGAAATCGATTCCGCTATTTAGTTCCTGGTTTAGGCTAGCTTGGCAATCAGGGAAAGACTGTGTTAAATTACTCTGCACTATCTGAAGAGTTTGTCTTGTATCTGATGCAACTACTCACACTCTTTTTTCTTTCTAAGCAAGCTGGCTTGCTTCAAACCGTCAACAGCCACATTCCTCACGAGAGTACCCTTAGCGAGCTTTTGTTATTATCAGTGGGATTCATAGGACCACGTCATGGTTTCCGCAGAGACGTTCCTGCGATCTTTCACAGCCAAAAAGCTCCTTTTCAACATCATATTCTGGGTTGGTCATTGGGGAGTTTTCGCATACGGCTGGTACTCCCAAGCAACTAATGAACGACTGAGCGGTGTCAATGCATTAGCCTACTCAATATGGATGTCGCGTGGCGCAGGATTGGTGCTGAGCATCGACACGACGCTAACCCTACTGCCGATGTGCAGAACGTTGATGCGGTGGGTGCGGCCGACGGCGCGATGGCTTCCACTGGACGAGTCCATCTGGTTTCATCGGCAGCTTGCCTATGCCATGCTAACTTTTACTATTGTTCACACGGCTGGCCATTACATCAAGTATGTCAGTTGCTGTTGGTTTGAATATCATGAGCTGATCGTGTCCTCTCTAGCTTTTTCAACATCGAGGCATCCTAAATCCGTCCGGAAACTGCAGCTCAGATTCATTACACGCAGCCTGGACCGATTACTGGACATGTCATGCTGCTATGTATGCTCCTAATATACACCACGGCGCACTACAGAATTCGATAACAATCCTTTGAAACCTTCTGGTACACTCACCATCTCTTCATACCTTTTTTCCCCGGAATTTACACCCACACCACCGGCTGCTTTGTCCGCGATACCCCAGAGGCACTGTCACCCTTTGCTGAAGGATTCTGGGACCATTGCCTTGGGTACATGGGATGGAGGTGGGAGCTTTGGACCGGCGGGCTTTACTTTGTAGAACGCATCTACAGGGAAATACGAGCGCGCCGAGCAACCGAGATTGTACGCGTCATTCATCATCCATCGAGTACGTTCCTCTTTCCCTACGCCACTGATGTAACTAATCAAGATTCATCTAGACGTCGTCGAGATTCAATTTCGCAAGCCCAGCATGAAATACAAAGCTGGCCAGTGGCTGTTTCTTAATTGCCCTGAAGTCAGCCCCTACCAGTGGCACCCCTTCACGATCACATCTTGTCCCTTTGACCTATATATCAGCGTCCACGTGCGGCAAGTCGGAGACTTCACCCAGGCGCTAGGTAATGCCGTCGGCGCAGGACCCCAACAAGCCAAGATGTATGAAGAACTTGATCCGAACGGCATATACGAAGTCGCTATCGAACAAGACCAGAAGTTGCCGTGCCTTCGAATCGACGGACTATACGGAGCGCCAGCGGAGGATATCACTAAGCATCAAGTTGCTGTAATCATCGGGGCAGGTATCGGCGTTACTCCATGGGCGGCGAACTTGGAGCAGATTTGGAACATGCGTCGAACAAAAAGTGACTGTCGTCTACGGCGACTGGAATTTGTCTGGTTGTGTCGGGATATTTCCTCGTCGGAGTGGTTTCGTCAGCTCCTTTTGTCACTTGAGGCGCAGGACATCGGCGGCTCATTCCTTAACATCCACATCTATCTCACCCAGCAAATGGACAGTGACGCTGCGGCCAACATTATGCTCAACACTGCGGGGAGGGGAGAAGATGCTATCACGAAACTAAGGAGTGGAACTCAATTCGGTCGTCCGGACTTCGGAAAGATTTTTGTCTCGATGCGAGAGCAGATCTCGAACGGCACCTATGCTCCAGGGCTTGAGGTTGAGACGAGAACTACGGTTGGGGTATACTTTTGCGGGCCGGGCGGGCTTGCTAGGAGTATCCGGACGACGTGCAAAGAAGCGTCTGATGCATTCGTACTGTACAAATTTTGGAAGGAGCACTTTTAGGAATAAATGGTCAAAGATGGTCTAGATTGGACATGGGGATGCTGAATACGCCCACGCACCACGTATGTTTGTTTGCGTCTTTGAATTAAACTCATTTCCTTGCATTTGAAACTCGCGAAAGTGACGTTTGATGCATAGGACTTGTATTCTATCAAGGCCGCGTGTTCTGACGAAAGGATCGCAGCGATCTCTGGCTCATTTTCGTACGGTCTGCACCTACGTGTAGCTGATGATACACCTCGAGCCAAAGAGCTCTTGCGACTCGTGTCATAGGTAGATTGCCAAAATCCAATCCCTTTAGCTTACCAGAAGCTACTATAATTTTAAGTTCTCAGTTCTCCTTAAGTGCAGCCTAAACCTGGAGACGAAATAACTTAGCAAGTGTACATTGGCCGTGTCGCAGCTCGCCTTCAGCTGGTGCTGTTCAATCCTTGGGCCGAATGACATAGCTCTCTGGTTGTACTCTCAGGAATGAGATGAATTGGTACTTCGGAAACCAGTGCATGCGCACAGATCTTAATTTCACCAAGCAGCCGACACTACGCAATGATGCTTCAAGGAGAGCAATTGCTCGCCTCCACTTTTCCGTCCCGGAAGTGCCGTGTTGCTGTATTTGGCTTGTGCTTGTAGAATGTGTAGCACCTTAACTTCAATGCTGCCTCACGCTCACTGGGGTGTTGGGGTGTTTTTTCTATTCCGAGGATAGTTCCCCGTTATCAGGTAGGCTGCCAAGCTTTCTTAGTATGCTATCTGGCAGTCGCTAATGCTGACTCTTCGGCTATCGCGGACTTACAGAGACCTACAGCACGTTGTCAAACAATAACTCAGAGCGGAGTTTCATATTCGTACTGAAAAACAGCACTTCAATTAGGCTCTGGTGACAAGGGTGGAAATACAAAAGACGAACAAAGTTGTGAAATCGACTACTTCAATTTAGTTAATCAGCCACTTTACTTCGGACTCCAACACTAAGACGCTACACAGTCCAATCGCAGAGAGTCGCAGGTTCTACTTTTACTCCTATCAAAAAAGAAATACTGTCAAAATGGCCCTGAAAACCGGTGAGCCTCTGTCCAGTGCTGCTCAGAAGCTGATGCAGCTTGAGGACAAGTACTCTGTGGGCGGTTTTGCACCCACGCCAGGATTCCTTGTGTCAGGAAAAGGCTCTACGCTTATGGTATGTTGATTTCGCATCTTCAAGAGGTTGGCTGATCTTAGGCAACGTTGTTAGGATGTCGATGGCAAAGAAATCATTGACTTTGTCACGATGTTCAGCGCAACCAACATTGGACATGGCCACCTAAAATTGATTGAGGCTGTTGTTGATTGCATGCGGAACGGTGAGCATCTAACTTCCCTAGGTTTCTATTATGCTAATTAAACCCTTCATTAGCTACTCTGATCAATATGTCTACTTATTTTGCTGGATGGCTAGAGCTAGCTAAAGAGCTTTGCGAGCGATTCGGCTACGATAAAGTCACTGCTATGGTTTCTGGCGCTGAGGCAGCTGACACTGCTTGCAAGATTGCTCGCAAGTGGGGGATAACGCACAGGAAGATCCCAGCGGAAGAAGTCATTGTTCTTGGAACCTCGGACAACTACCATGGCCTAACCTCGGGCATCTGGCCCATCATGAATCCAGGCAATCAGGCAGGTGAGATGGATAACAACGTCTTTATGAATATTAGAGACTGACTGGTATTACCAGGCTACGATGCCTTCAACAAGAACTTGACTGACCGTCACCCCCGAACGGGTGAACTGCTTCGCTACGGATATGTTGAAGACTTTGATGCTGTCTTTAGCGAGTTTCACGGCCGTATTGCCGGTGTGATTATGGAGTGTATCCATGGAAAGCTCCCGTAAGTATTATTGTCCCTCCTCTGAAGTGCGCTAGCTCATCATAAGGGCCTGCAACAATTCGAAAAGACATTCATTCTGGCGGCGTCAGTGTAGATCCGCCAGTTGGGGGGGAAGGCAGGCCACTTGCTGACACAACTGCGATAATAGAACATTTCAAGAGGAGATTGACTTTGCCATTGGAGTTCGCCAGTTGTGCAAAAGATACAACATCCTCTTCATCTCTAATGAGATCCGAATGGGCTCCGGAAAGACCGGCAAGTTTCTCTGCAGTGACTGGCTCGGTCTAGAGAACAAGCCCGACATGATTACACTCGGCAAGTCTATCACTGGGGGAGCGTTTCCGGCGTCGTACGTTCTGGGTTACAACGAAGCTATGTCGTTGGTCGGTTCATTCCAAACTGGCGGCACATTCACCATGGCCCCTGCAGCGGTAGCAGCAACTATGGCAGCACTGAAGATCTACGACGAAGAAAAGCTGACCGAGAAGGCTTTGATCATTGAAGACAAGTGGAAGAAGGCCACCAGCCAGTGGAATTACCCTTGGGTCAAGTACGTCACCTCCCGGGGTGCTGACATGAGCATCGCAATGGAGCCGAAATACGGCACGGTAACACCTCGCCGAATCGCCCGACTTGCGTGGCAGAAAGGGTTGTTTATCTACCCAACCAAGGCAGCCATTCGTGTCCATATCGCACTGACCATTACGGATGAGGAGCTGGAGAAGGGACTGAAGATCTTGACAACGGTTATGGATGAGATTGAATCATACGGAGACATTCCAGGATCCACTCACCCGTCTGATGACGACAAGCATGGGGGGTATTGAATTTAAGATATTAAACACTCTATAGTTTACGAGTGAAATGCAAACTTCAAGCTTTTCTTCTTGCGTTTACGGTGTCAGTATACAACCGTCAATTGAATGCGTGTAATATGGCGAGACCTTCGGAACGAACGCTATGAAGGCAGTTGCTGCAAGCAGCAGGAGGTGAAATCTTTAGCTGGTCTGTGTGCACCACTGAGCCTGAGTGCGCGTCTCCTAGTGAAGACACTTTGAGACAGGCGAAACTGCCAAAGACGGTCTAAAGTTGAGATACCTTACTTGGAAAAGACCCACTGAAGCAGCCTGTGATTGTGACTACGAAGTACACAGTCTCGTCAATGCTTCCTCCCACCTGACGAGGTGCAGACACTGCATGCGATTCAAACAATTGAGGGGGAAGACATGCAGATGGAAGAGAAGACCGGAGCTGTGCCTCAAGGTTCGCGTTGCATACTGGGTGCATGGCTGGCCGCAACCAAAGAGAACCCCGAGGGCCGCGGCACCCGGAGAGGCGCTGTAGCTTTGGGAACCCTGGCGGGCAGGTTACCATTTACAGCACTCAAACTCTCACCTATCCCCTCAAGAACAGGCCAAGCTGCACCCGTGCGGCCGGGAATCAAACGTGAAGACGGAAAAGGAGACGATATCAGTGATACGTCCGACGTCACTGAGACATACCTCGACAACGGCGGCGAAGGAGTCAGCGTGAATTCTCAGGATATTATCCTGTTTTCATCAAGGTTATTCCTCACAAGATGCAAGAGACGTTATCAGGTAAGTTTCATGTGTCCCTTCATAATGAACAACAGCACGAGCAGCTCGGCCATTCCTTCGCCCATTCAGTGTAATTAAGTGTAAATGAACAGAAGCTAGGTGATGGAGATCGTCCCGATTCCTCTAGGTAGCTGACAGTACACATGCTCCCAGCTCGATGAGCCTCAGACTGCGCAAGCCGTCATCCATTCGAGTCCACGGCCAGAATCCGTGCCACCCCCATTGCGTATGTCAGATGAGTCTTCCATCTTCTAAAGTCTGCGCACAACAGGCAGAGTTCCGATGTCTTACAATCCGTGTTCCATTACTTGGTCAGCTCCGCCGCTGATTATCAAGCCGCATTTCTATCACAAGAAGACAACGCCGTGGTGGTGAATCGGGAGACGTTGGCGTTTTTTGAGCCCATGGCGGCGAGGACATCTTTAAACGCCAGCTGTGTATAGATAAATAACAAAAAGAGTCAATAATTAAGTGTCTCTATTGCCGCACCGCTCACTCACAGGGAGCCAGATCTTTTGCTAACCCAGGTAAAATCGGCAGAAGGTGAGTTGGTGATTTGTCCCTTGGTAGACCTGCTGGCATGGCGTGAATCTGATCACCGAAGGTATTCTGCCTTATCCACTTGGGCGCTTGCTACCCTGCGAATCTTGTCAGATCGAACTCTTCTCTGTCTTCAGGTTGATAATGTATTCCGACTTAACTCTGCGTCGACCTCTTGAATTCAAGCTAGTAAGCTTGGCCGCTGTGCACCTCGTGCGATTCACTGCCGCCCATCTTTGGGTCCAAGGTGTAGCTGTTGTCGGCATTGCTGAATGAAAACCGAGAGAATGCGTCCAGTATCAGACACGCGATTTGGACCTGCTCGTCGAGGACCTAGCTGGGTCCTGGCTGTTAAAATCCTGGTCGTCAAGGTCTTACCTTTGTCATCAAGGTCCCGAGCGACGATGTTATCATTCCAAGTCCCGATTATCAAGGTCCTGATTTGTGGCCCAGGTCGTTGCTGAGGTTCGGTTTCCCCACGCCTGAACCCATCGCTCACGCAACTCCTTGAAAGTAGCCAGGGTACCTTGTTGCTGCTAAACCGATGTTCCATGCCCCATTCCTACCGACAAGGCGACCGACACCTTTGCGACCAACGCCGTCCCCAATAACAGCGCCAGGCATGGCCTGTACCTCCCCGACACCGGCCTTCATCCGGCAACACTTGCGGTATCGGTTCTCAAGGATGCCTTCTTCCAGCAGTTCCAAAACATAGGCGACCAACGTCCCGTCTCGAGGCGATGTCCGAGGTGCTCCTTGAAATGAATCTACGCGGATCACGAACAACACAAACACCTGGGCCAAATGAACTTCCGTGCCGTCCGTCGAGCTATAGCCACCCCGCAACCCGAGAAATTGTTGAATGCCTATCAAAGTGCAGCAAGTGCTGGAAACACTAACCGGGGTCTTAATCATCTCGCAGAAAATGAATGGGCTCGGCTGAACACGGAATGACGCCCCTGCTGTTCTTGACGCCCGAGCTGACTGCTGGCCATAGCTGGAAATCAGAAGGTGCAGAGAACATGTCGTCGACCACCAAGCAGCGTTGCACAGCCAGAAATCACACCCATCAAATGTGCCGCATTGCTACTACCTTTCTCCAACTGGTTTCTTTTCGTGCGCCACGACGCAAACTACGAACCGTTTGTAAGTTGGAGATAATAGCAGCTAAACCGAGTCCACTTATGCAGACTGGAAATTTCTTTGCAGTTACTACTCGCGTATACCAGGACTGCACCGAGGTAATGATCGTCACCCGCTTATGCGCCACCAGTACTTCTTTTGAAGTTGACCGCTATGTTATCAAAGAGCCAGATATCGTCCCAGAGGATATTCATACATTTCGCCGCTGTATTCAAGCGCTCATTATACTAGCGACAACTATCAGCAGATCCTGCGTCATCAGGACCGCGATGCCCCTTGCGAACAAGCTTCTAAAGTTGAAGACAACTATAACTACCACGAATACCACAGGCTATATTGTCGTTGTTGTTGTTATTGTTGTTCTATCTTTCGACGTCAGAGCTACCCCCGGATCGCTCCCTGGGGCATACGTCGTGAAGGGCAGGCCTACACGTCTGAAATAAATAATGTATGGTTGACGGGGATTTCCATCTATCACCCTGAAGTCGTATGCCCAATCCCAAGAGGCTCAAGCGAACGCTTGGGATACGCTATTGATCCTGCAGACCCCAAGCTTCAGCCAGGCATCTTCTTGCCGCCTGCAGCCAGTCCTGTCTGTCGTTCCCATTATTCCATCATATCGCAATTTTACCCAGAGGCCAGGGCATGTCGATTCATCGGCTTGGCCGAGCCTGCCCATCTATAATGTCACCTGCCATGTAGATTCGCTCGCTGGCACCCTCCTATGCCACTTATATTGATCGATGGTGTTTTGAAAGATGTGTGGGCGATGGTGGTTGATGTTTGGGGGTTGTGTGATTAGGAGACTCGTTCGCGATGCGGAGAACAAAGGGGATAGCGGAAAAGCAGAGTGCTGGATTCTGTGCTTTTACCGACGGAAGGACGACATGGAGAGACTGGCCTGGGATGATTTGTTGCTTGGAAAGGTTTGGGCCTGAAAACGAGTGTCGTGGTGGGCGTCCTGAAGCGGCAAGTTCAACCAGCCTCAGGCCTGAGAGGCAAGTCGACGTGATGTTTGCAATAGACACTGAGTATGGCATGGGAAGGTTGGACGACTGGGACTGATGAAGGCGAAAATAGCCGTCTGTGGGATGGTAGGTGGTTCATTTCTTTCGGTCAAGATGGTAGCTGTCCACATGTTGTAGAATTTGATCAACCTAAGTCTTTTGCTCCTCCAAAAGTTCACGTCAACAACCTTGAGTCCAAATCAGGGTATAAATGATTTGAACTGAATGTGATGGGGGTCGTCTGATGACCCCTTTGCGAAGAGAGGGTTATGGAGCAGACGTTGTCTCTGATGCATGCCACCTACTTCACTGACGTGCAAAACTGAGTCAAATTTCAATGACCTAACGTTTGGCGGCTTCTCGTCGGGCAGCACCATCGCAAAGTTCTACGGCGACTCACTCTTGCAGACCATTCGTTCAATCTCCTCGAGCCGCCTCGAGCCCAGCGCGGCGCAGTTGAGCGTACAGATCCCAATCGGGTCACCAGTATCGAGGCCAGCATGCGCGACGACTGCATGCAGCGTCATCGCGGTCAGCGACTGTACAAGAAAACTTGGTGGCCACTTGTAGAACTGGCACCCGGCTATTAATTGCCACCAACAACGTCTGGAGGCCCACAGTTCGCGTCGCAGACAACGGATGGCGCACGGATCCGCTTGACTTTGACGAGTTTCTGGAAGGCCGACTTCTTCACGCCTACAAGGCGACCACCAGCACCTTTTAATGTTGAACCGGCCGGCCAGAGCGGCTCCAGACTCTCGGCCATATCGTCGGACACGCTGTTCACGAGGTAGAGGGCTTCACGCCACGACCGGCCTGCGCTTTCACCTGCTCTCCGTGGCCGATCCCAGCCGCTACCATGCCAAGGACACTGTTGCCATCGACGCGTGCGCTGAGTTGATGCAGCAGCAACTTATGCCTGATGCATAGCTACTGATCATAAGAGCCATGCCACCTAATTCCACCCACCAACCTGACGCTTCGACGTCAATTCAACCACTAAACAAGACGACGGATGCCGGAGAATATCATTTGACCTCAGAGTTCTGCTCGATGGCAACATCTGGGCAGACACTCCTGGTATTCGAGTCGATTCTCGGTGTGAAAAGATAGCGACTGCTGACAGGACAGCCAGCCAATCCTTATACTCTCCTTCCTGAGCAGGCTAGAGTTAGCCACACACAGATACAGACCAGGTCAGCCCTTCATCAGGACAAAAGGCCTAAGCTGAAGCATGAACATGTGCTCTCCGATTTGGGACACATGAAAGTGTTTCTCCGTCATCGTAAGTTACAAAGGCGGGCCCGCAAGCGGTGACTTGCTAAACAAAAGTATGAAAAGAACTAAGAAGTAAAGAAGGACATGTGAGAACATTAGAATACGCCGTCCGGGAAGCTGTTTTACTGAACTGACATAGACGGCGCTAGGGTGTGAGTAGCAAAGGTAACCTTTTGGTCAACTCGCCGCCTGCATGTTCGCTGAAGCATCTTACTGAACTTCTACTTGCGGCCTAGCCGTTGTCGAAATGGATATCCCGCA